TTTTATTTGTTTTCCTTCCTTATCAGTTTCTCTTGTTACTCTTCTGAACTTGAGAAAGTCCCATTGCTGAAACAAGGGACAACGATTCTTCCTTGATAAAATAAGGACAAATGAGAAAAAGAAAGAAAAGACAAAGGACAAGTACTGGTATGCCAACTTTATGCAAACCATTGAATCACTCAAAAGTGGGTGACTACTTGCCCACATCTGTAAGTAGAACCAAGTTGGTAAGTTCTACAGCCCTGTTATTCTCTGCAGGTCTTCCATCCCAACCCTGATTAGCTTCCAGCTGAAACAAGGTCAGGCTGGTGCTGCCATCTACAGTCAAATAAGGTATTCCATTTAGTCTTCCAAAGCACCAATACTCTGCCGTTTGCCACGGAGAAACAAAATATGCTATTTTCCTGAAGAGGGAATGCTTACATGAGAAATGCTGCTGTCCAGATGTTCAGTATTCCACGATTCTGTTCCAGTGATCTTTTAAGACTTTAATTGGACAGCCCTCCATAGGGATGCCTTCAAATAGAAGACTGCACTCTCTAAAGCAGGACATGTCACTATCCTATTTAGACTTTCTGAAAGAAAGATAGCATGGTCATCTTTGCATTGTAGCCCTCTGCTGGCCTAGTTGTTTCTTCTTTCTTAAGGGGAGCCAGTTTGTGGTAGTGGTTAAGGCATCAGGCTAGAAACTGGGTGATCATGAGTTCTAGTCCTGCCTTAGGCATGAAGCCAGCGGGGTGACCTTGGGTCAGTCACTCCCTCTCAGCCCTAGGAAGGAGGCAATGGCAAACCACTTCTGAAATCTTGCCAAGAAAACTGCAAGGACTTCTCCAGGCAGTTGCCAGGAGTCAACACTGACTCGAAGGCACAGGACAAAGGAGAGCACGTTAAAAGGAAACCATGATGTTTTTAAGATGTGTGGCATCTTGCTGAAATGTATTGAAATTGGCCAGTGACACAATATATGCTGAGGAAGCATGTAAGATCATCCCACCCTAATGGTTTATACAGGTAGTCCTTGACTTATGACCATTCATTTAACCACTGTTCAAAGTTATGATGGCGCTGAAAAAAGTGACTTATGATTGGTCCTCACACTTATGACTGCTGCAGCATCCCCACAGTCGCATGATCAAAATTCAGGCACTTGGCAACCAGCATGTATTTACAATGGTTGCAGCATACCGGGGTTACATGATCACCATTTGCAACTTTCCCAGTGGCTTCCAACAAGCACAGTCAATGGGGGAAGCTGGATTCTCTTAATGACAGCATGATTCGCTTGTAAAAGATTGTAAAATTCGGTGCGACTCACTTAACGACTGTATCACTTAGTGATGGAAGTTCCAGGCCCAGTTGTGGTCGTAAGTCGAGGACTACCTGTATGCTCATTTACTGACTCTATTTATCTAACAGACACACTCACAAACAAAACACCCCTAGCTATTTTCCCCAGAATAACTTACCATTAAAATGGAAGGACTAGTTAGGGAGTATACTTGCTTTTTCTGCTAAACTTTCTTTTGTCTTAAATTCAGAGTCATCTTCTTTTGGGGTGTTGATAAAGATTCTCAGTCATCCAGGTGGAATTATCTGGAGGTTGAGTCATGGCAACTGGACTTTTCTTTTGGTGTAGATATACCAATTCCTCCTTAAAAATACATTTTGCAGCCCCAAGGTTCCATGAGGCCCCCTAAATCCTTTGGAAGGGCCCTAAACCTACTTGCTTTTTCTGCTAAACTTTCTTTTGTCTTAAATTCAGAGTCATCTTCTTTTGGGGTGTTGATAAAGATTCTCAGTCATCCAGGTGGAATTATCTGGAGGTTGAGTCATGGCAACTGGACTTTTCTTTTGGTGTAGATATACCAATTCCTCCTTAAAAATACATTTTGCAGCCCCAAGGTTCCATGAGGCCCCCTAAATCCTTTGGAAGGGCCCTAAACCCTTCTCAAACATGCCCTTGAACAGTAATTTTTAGTGGAAAAGAGAGGGAAATTATTACCTGCATGGAAGTAATCATATAAACCACACTCCATTTTAAATGTAATTTTAAATTGATATCAAACATTGTTTTTGTCCTGGCTTTGTCTCCTTTTAGGAGTGAAGCTCCCAGCACACTATCCAAAGAGCGAAGGGATCTTCCTCCTGAAAAGAATTGTGCAGCCAGGATGTGCAGTCATTTTCAGCAGAGTAAAAGCAAGCTGGATGCCTTTTTCACAACTAGCACCCTGATGTGACCTCAGGGAGTGGTTAAGAGGCGCAGGCTGACCAGATCCATGAGTTGGGGTCCTCCTTCCCACAAAGATGAACTTGCACACAGTTCAGAAGGATCAAGAAAGGGAAGTGTTGCACTGTGTTGTATCCTGTGCGATTCCACATGACTGTGTTTCTAAAAATGGATTTGAAGTAGATAGCACTTCTACCAGAGGGCTGCGCTCTGTCAACTTGAAGACAGCCCCCATTCTCCAGCTTCCAAGAAGATATTTGATATCAACAGGCGCCAAGTACAACACCCTTGGTCAGCATTTTTTTTTTTTTATAGAAAGGATTCCATTGCTTGCAGACCAAAGGCTTAAGCTATAATTGAGACTGCAGGGAGGGAATGAAAGAGGAAAAAAGTAAACAGGAGTCTGGAAGGTCTTTCTACGTCTTCACAGGGAAAGCAAATATCCAGACTGTTCCACTGCAGGAAGGGAAAACAGACCTGTGGAATCTATTGACTATTAAAGGTGCTGCAAATGTTATATTTGCTGGATGAAAAGCAGAATCAAATCAAACAAGCATTTTAAAAATGTATGTACAGCTTAATCTCTAAGGTGCTTATTCAAAATTAAGTCCCACTTATTTGAGTGTAGCTAACTTCTTGGACTATTTTAAGATGCAGTGTTAATTCTAGTGTAGGGGTTGGCAGATTGAAGATTGCATGACCCATTTTTGTAGTCCATCCCCCACCTCCAGTGTGCCATGACATCACTAATGTTGTCAATTTTTAGTAGCAAATCTCATCATTGCCCCAGAGGCCAGGAAATAAATAAATAAAATACAGCTTCTGGATGAAAAAAGTGGTTTTCTCATTCTAGTCAGATTACCTAAATCAAGAAGGAACTGCACACAGATATTCCTGGGTTTCAGCCAGCCTCCAGACAGTATGGCTAATGGTTAAATCCAACACCTGAAAGGTTGCAGGTTGTTCTTCTCTGTCCTAAATGTGCATTTATCAAACTCCAAATATTCTCTCAGTGTAGTGCTTCAGTTTTTAGGAAACTATTTTTTCCAAAAAAATAGCAAATTATTTTGTTGCTGGGAAATGTGTTATCATTTAGCTGTTTGATCTACTGTTTGCATGAGAAAATAGTTGTACAAATTCTACAGGTACCTGCTGCATAAATGTCCTTCACCTATTAAGGGATTTTTTTGTATTACGTTTAGAGAAGTGTATTACTGAATATTAGGGGCTGAGGCAAAACAACAAGGAAAGGAAATAAAATGCTGGCCTAGAAAGTTCAATCAACAAAGCAATTTTAATCACTATACTTCCCCTCCTCAAGAGCACGAAAAATCTCTGTAGCACAGAGATGGCCCCAAACCCCTCATCTGTTTCCACAGTCATCCTACATTAGAGACCCCCTGATCAAGAGTTCTGTGATATGGAGCAGCAAAATTCAAGATGGTCCAATACAAGACAAATGCTGGCAGAACATTCCAGATATGTAGCAGAATAGTTTAATTGAGTGCTTTTCATCAGCAGTTTGGGGTGGTTGAAATGAGGCTGGCTGGGATAGTGAAAGCAAAAAGTCATGGTCAGGACAATGGCAGCACAGAATAAAAATATGCCTATACAATCAAACCCTCATTGATGACATAACTTTATTGCTGGCACAGTACACCCTAACGTTGTCCTTGTCCCTCATCACCAATAATTATAGAAACAATTTTTACTTACGGTAGTTATCAGATTTGGCTTCCTTATAACCTAACATCACTGTCCCCAAATTTCAGAGGGCACTAATTCTAGCATGCTGTAATGCTCTTCCTACAGCAGTTTTGGAGGGTCGATACAAAAAAGTGCCATATGAGCTGAGATTGTGCCTGTGGACAAGGGGCTTTTGAAACTATAGCACATGTCCTGTTATATTGTATTTTTTATAAGGACTCACAAACCCATCTAATAACTCCTCATCTGATAAAATATCCAGGTAATTCTGATCTTTTTTAAGTCCAGTTGTTGCTATCTGATCAGAATGATTTAGTTTCCCTGAACGTAGCTAAATTTTGTTATACTGTCTGTGAAATTAGGCAGATTTTTACTGCCCACAGATGACCCCACCAATCTGTATATATATTATCATGTGCTGTTCATGTAATTCAATGTATTTTAATGTATTTTTATTTGAAATTCTGGTCCGTGACTGTAATAAAGATGATGATGATGATAACCTAACAGTCAAAGTATACTAAAAGTAGAAACTTAATTTGAGGGGGAAAAAAAACTTTTAAAGTTAAAAACTGCTACACTTAATTTCAAAAGGAAGTTATGATGTGCCAAGCTTTCCATATACAAAATTCCTATACAACTTTCCCAATCCAGGAGCATTGAAAAGGAAGGTATGCTCATCTGTATTTTCCAAAAGACTGCCATTGTATTAATTATAGAAATTAAGTGACAGATGCTAATCTTCTTAACTGTGCAACTTAATCTGAGCGCTTATTTCCTAGTTCATTGCTATACAGCTTGGATTTGACAGGCCTAGTATAAGAATAACCATGTTCAGTTGGATACATACAGATGGGATCTACTCAGCAAGAGTCTTCACATTCTTCTTTATATCTGAATCAATTCAGACAAGCTTCAGTTAGGAGTTATTTCCTTGTTTTGCTTTTCTGCTAGGAACTGCAAACTCTCGCTGAGAAGCCTCTTGACTGCCTCTCTTTGTCCACATTTAATCAGAGAATATGTTACCCTGTAAGCCAAGCCAAAATTTCACAGAAAGCACATATTCTGTAGTGAAGTCATTTCTTTAATATGGCATATCAAAAGCAAGTCTCCCGATTACATGGCATAATTCAGAATTGCATCCCCCAAAGCCCTTCTCCATTAACTATAAACCTGGTGAATGTCATTTGCAGAGTGTGCTTTTTGGGAGTGGTGGTAGGAAGCCACGCTAAGGGGAGTTTATGGGGGAAAGAGAAAAGTCATGATAATGGGTTTCATCATATTCAGTTCTTTTCAGAAAAGTCTTTGCCTCCTGGACGTTCTAGCATTGAAGATAGAAAGAAGCTAGCCTTGGAAGAAATTGATACTGCTGAGAATTATGTACTATGCAGCTGGTATCTGGACTGGACAGTGAATGTGCTTGGCTTGTGAGCAGAATTCTCCATGCAGAAATGTCTGTATGAGAAGTACTTACAGTGTTATAGGTACCTGTGGGGTGTGTGTGTGTGTCTGAAGAGAGACCATAAACAGTACTCTTTTGTCACAGCAAACTGGATCTGTAGTCCCCCTATTGCTAGAGGAGGAAAAAATACAGAAAAGCGAGATAAGGAAGGAAAGAAGCTGCCCAGTTTTACAATTCTGTGCAACTGCTTGTGGGATTGGGAAGAAATGACAAATCCTAATACCCATTTTCAGCATGACATTTAAGAGTCATCATCACTGGAGAAACATACACACAACAAAACAATGAAGAATACATCCAAGATTGCCTAGATCTCCCAAGAGAAATCCCAATTCATCTGGCAAATACATTTGACAGCTCTGCAACCTCTTCCTACTGCTTGCTTTGCTTTAGTGTCCCCAATTGCAGCAATGATTAACCTAACCCAAAGCAGCCTGGAAAGGAGGCAGGAAGAAGGAAAGGGGAAGATTCTCTTCCCTGATCTTGTCTCCTTTTGTTTCCCCTCTCTCCCCCAAGAAGTGCAGTGCAGAACACACAGATACTTTTGTAACCATGGCACATCTGTCCACAGAAAGGCTCATAAAGCGAACATTGCGTCCTCATCTTTTTCCTTCTTTCGCTGAGAACCAGAGTTAGTGGATGTGGAAGGAGCCCCTGTAGGGGCACTGGGAAGGGTAGGAAGCCGATCTGCCACCTTTGCACGCTCTTCAAGGAATCTGTCAAACTCTGGTAAGAAAGAATGTAGGGAGAATTTTAAAAGAGGAAGAGGAGGAATCAAACCAGGGTTGGAAGAACCCTGGGAGGAGTTACAGCTGAAACACCTAATCTGGAGCTGCACAGGCCACATCACTGTGGTGGAGTCAATGACAAAATAGTTGTGTTCATCAGGACATTTCTGAATGCATAGATACAAGAGCCATGCATCTAATAGAACCTGGTAACCCTATTAGAGAATCCCAAAAATTACAGGCATGTTAAGAAGTAATTTGTGTGTCTTGTTAATACAGAATGGTTTGGTTTTAGACATTGTATACATGGGCTCAATAGGTGAAGAGTGTCTCATGCCTACTAGCTGGGGAATATCAGTCTTAAAGGGCAGGACATATAGTTGGGTATAACTTGCCTTCACTGGTGACACCCTTTGGATCTTCTGTCTCGTTTCCCTAAGGAGAAAAAAAAAGGCAATATGGAAATCAAATAAGATTAAATGAAAGCTCACAGGGTTCATTTTGTGGACAGAATGTTCCACAAATACTAAGACAAGATCTGATATATGTTCATCCACCATACCTACAGGGTAGACAGAGTTTCAAGGAGCAGTTGAGTTTGGGACATTGATATCAAAATTCTGTTTTAAGTGTTGACATTTTAGTGACAGTCAGCCCTGGCCACAAGAAAGGAAGAGAAGAAATTTCTTGTGCCTCTGCCTCAGAAGAAACACAGACTCAAGGAGAGTAGTGCAAAGGGAGGAAACCAGACTCAGCTGTTAATATTTACCATCTATAAAACTAGAAGAAGAATCTGGGATTTTTTTCCCAGGATATACTCTACCATTTAGCTATGTCCCTCCCCACAGGATAACTGGTAGTATGCGCATACAGTAATTAACTCCTTTTTATAAACAAGTATTTCATCTCTATTACATACCACTTCAGTGGAGATCCACTGTTCAATTTCCTCCATGAAGGCAGCCTGGGGTATAGGAATCTGACAAGGAAAGTGAGAGAAAGACCACATAGACTATGCATATCCATGTCTGTAAAAAGTATCCTCAACCCTCAACTGAGAGAGGCTTAAAAAGTTATGGTTCAAATCAGTGCAATTCTCGGGGCATGTTTTTGATCCAAGTTATTTCTTAAGTGAAGCTAACATCACTGAAGAATGGTTAGAAATCTTTACTTCTCACATGGCTTGGGCCTTACCTTGAAGGAACTGACTTCATGGATAGTTTCATAGTGCACATTGGGAGGCATCAGTAATTAGAAGGCTTTGACAGATGTTTTAATTTTATCAAGTGAAGCATAAAGATCTTCTGTGTTTTAGACTATGTTAGGTCATACCATTGTATTTAACAAGCCTTTCCATATAAGCAACAAAAATTTGCAAAACAAAAGCAGATAGTTTATGTCTAGGAAAAGTGCTTCTGGGGCATCTGCTTTGCTCCCATCTTCTAATATAAAGATCACTTTAAGCTCTCACTACAGCACAAAAATCCTCAGACAAGATCTGACAAATAAGAACTCCCAAAGCTTCACTCCTTTCCTCTACACATTCATGCTCTTTTGGCCAATTACTATCCCTCAAACTAATCTACTTCATAAGATTGTTTTTTTGTGAGAAATAAGTGGAGGAAAGAGTGCTGTGTAAGCTGCTTGGAGTTCCTGAATGAAAGGTGAGATGTAATCCAACAAAAAGATTTAAATAAGATTCTCAGATTTCCCCATTTCTTCTGTTCAGCAAAGGATGTTTAAAGTATTCTTAAAATTTAAAGGAAATAGGGTTTCTTACATAAACATACTGGTGTATTAGGTCAACCATTTACTTATTGCTACTAAGCATATAACCTGTACCTGTGATACAAAGGATTTTGTTTCCATCACAAACTGAAATGAAAACTTGCATGTGGAATTATATTGTATTTTCTCAATGTACCAACGAAACTCCACTTCTAAATGATCATTTGTAATTCAGGTCCCTATGCTAAACCAAGTGAAGCTTATCTTGACAGCAAGAATGTGCAAAAGTAGGAATGTGTATATGTATATGTATGTATGTGTGTGTGTGTGTGTGTGTGTGTGTGTGTGTGTATATATATATATATGAAACAAAAAGACCAGAACACCCCCTTGCCAGCAATCAACACCCAGATAAGCAAGGATTAACACGAGGATCAATACCAAACAAACAATCAAGTAGTAAACAATACCCTAATCAAAGAACTACCAAGTCAGATAATCAAGCAGTAAAGAACAGCCTAATCAAGGAACC